AGCATTTAGTTTATGTAGGATGCAAATAGCTGTGGGTTACTATAGGATTCATGGTTTGGGTTTCCTTGAGATTTACTTTACSGACGCCTTGAGGATCCATTTATGCTTTAGTAGAAAAGAAGGCTCAAGGCTACTTGCCTTAGGGCATTGTGATTACTCCTCTCAAATTATAAATGGGAGGTATATAAAGTGATAATCTACTACTGTTTACTATTATTAACTCCTGACACATGTGGTGACATATAAAACTAATACCTTTCCTAAGCTCTGAAGTGAGAATGAAGAGATGAGTAAGGATTAAGTCAAGTAAGCGGAATCTACATGGTTTGGTGTGTGAGGGGGTGTGCAGGGTTCCTCTCATCCCCTAATATGTACCCCATAATTTCGTGGTTGGAGGAGGTGAGGGCTTTCCTCTTACAGCCACTAGTAGCCCTTCCTCGCCCACCCACCTGCCCGCTTGGTGCTGGCATGGAACAACCCTGGGCTCCGTGCACAGTGGGCCAATGCTCTACCACTGCACCTGCCCCTGGGGTAGGCAGCATGGTGTGTGGACATGCAGAATTTGGCCATTGTGAGAGCCACCTCAACTCGGGGACTCACAGGCAGCAGGATAGGTCAGCAATATCCATGTCCATATCCACGAAACCAAAGGTCTAGCTCTCTCAGGGAACCCACTGTACAGGCAGTAGCTCTCTTTAATGGACKTTTGTAGAACAGGCTCCACGTTGCCCACACAGCTCTTCAGTCTTGAGAGTCTTCTGCCTTGGGAGCTCAAAACTGAACATGGGCAAGAGAGCTTGGTATCCTGCATGGCTGCTCTCTTCTGCATATAGCTGGCTTTTTTTATGTTGAGAGCTAAGCAGTTAGTTTTAGAATTTCTTTAATTGTCAAGTTTTTTTTAATTTAATTCTCAAATTAGGTTTTTTTCTGTAGAAGCATTTTCCATTTTTTTGAACTTTTTTTTACCTATTTACTTATTTATTTTTGGTACCAGAGATTGAACTCAGGGGCACTTTATCACTGAGCAACAATTTTATTTTGTATTTTATCTAGAGACTGGCTCTCACTAAGTTGCTTAGTGCCTCACTTTTGCTGAGCCTGGCTTTGAACTTGAGATCCTCCTGTCTCAGCCTTCCAAGCAGCTGGGATTACAGGTGTGTGCCACTGCACCCAGCTTTTACTTAATTTCTTAAAAAAAAAATTATTAATTGCCAATGGACCTTTAATTAATTTATTTATTTATATGTAGTGCTGAGAATTGAATCCAGTGCCTCACACATGTTAGGCTACTGCTCTACCACTGAGTCACAATCTCAGCCCTGGCTTTTACTTAATTTTTGAACAACAAATTTTCCATTAATTCATTCATGAAATAACTAGTTAGTGCTTCCTATGTACCATTGTCTATGCTAGGTACTGGTAAGATGTAATAACACAATCCTTTCTCTTAGGGAATTCATACATATATGAGTCCACAGAGATTAAACATGTATAAGGATTTATAATGAAACATATACAAAGATCTACCATTATAATTGGTATAATCTATGGAGGAAAAATATGTAATATATGTGGGGATACTTATCTTTTTTCTGGAAATGGCATTTAATTTGGGACWTGAAGTACCCATTGGAGTGAGCCAAATAAATGGCGATGGTAGATGGGGGTCAGAAGGTATGTCCAAAGAGATATGAGAAGACGGGGAAGGACAAGCTTCAACCTAGGAAAAGCTTAGGGAGAATTGTGGGAGGAGAGGTAGGAATTAAGGCAATAGGGACTCTATATTCAGGGCTTTGAAATCAATGTGGATGGTGTTGCATTTCATCTAAGAAAAATGATAAGCGCTTGAAGAGTCTTAAATAGAAGTGAAATGAATCCGTTTTCTTTCCCTGCCAACCTCTCAAGCTGGCTGTTGTGCGGAGAATGGACAGTACAGAAACAAAACCCAAGACACAGTGCTCTCACTGGGGATGGTGCCCTGAATTTGGAAAGTGGAAATGGGTTTGGAGACTCATATGCTTTCAATATACAGTTGAGAAGTAGAATTGGTAGAACTTGGTGATTGGCTAAAGAACCCTTATCTAGCTAGGGCGTGGTCTGGTCTCAGCACGGTGTTATATAAAAACATTTATTATTTGGGTAGAAAAACAGAATGTGAAAGCACTCAGGAGATTTCCTCTGGCTCTTGAGAAGGCAACAGTGCCTTGGTGGCATTATTTGTAACGTGAGCAGAACTTCTTTCAGAGTCCTTGTTGGCCATCCCTCTCATTCTCAATGCCTGTCACAAACTCAGGGAAAGTCTTAAAAGTGCGATTTCTCCTGCCTTTGTCTGTGTACTGGCACTCATCCCCAGCACCCCTAGGAAGTGGCTTTGCACTTTTCTTCAGTCCCTTGTGATGAGGGTTTACCTAACTTTTCTGGCATCTTCCCTCCTTCTCTTCTTGCTCACTGCTGCAATTCTGCAAAAGAAAAAAGAGCCCCAGAACCAGTCCAGCAGGCAGCAGGGGAGGGAGAGATATTGCAAATATGTGACCTCTTTGTTGTTGCTGTCGCTGCCAGCTGTTTCCATGTTAAATGTGTGAGGATGAGAAAGGCTTATGCTCCAGCTTCCAGCACAAGAGTGGAGTCTGTTTGTGGAGGAGCATAGGAAAATAGGAGGTCGGGGGACACATGAGACTATGTGGTCAAGGAGTGGCACCCCTTTTTCCACAGAAAGGTCTTAACTGGGCCTCTCCAGAAATCTTCACCATGGCTGATTTTAGGACTGTCAGCAAAAGAGTTTCTGCAAAAGAGTCCAATGTAGATAAACTTCCTATTTTTGTGTCGCCCTGTTTTTACTCGGCCACTGGCAGGGAAGATACCAGCACTCTAGGTGCTGGACACCCCCTTACTAGTTTTCACAAACGTATCCAGTATATATTTGTAGAAATGAGCAAACCAGGCCTCTGGCCTTGAGCTGGGCTTCGCAGAGATGTCTCCATTTTTAAGATAATTTACCAATTGGGCTCTATGGTAACAGCTGGCAGGGGGAGGAAAGAAAGGGGAGAAGAAGCTCCCCCCTTCTCAGGTGTTGTCCTTGAAGGGTTAAATTGCCCAGAACAGTGAAAGAAAAAGCTGCTTTTATGTGAACTTCTGCAGACAGTGAACGTCTGAGCTTCTCCCCTCACATGCTGGGTATAAAACTCTGAAACTCCCTGAACTCGGGGTTTGGAGGATTAATTGATTAGATTACAGCAAAAGCTGTGCCCTCTGAACCTGACTGCAGCCAAACAAAACTGTTTCCTGCTGTCTTGGGTGCCCTGCCTCGTCTGTCCCTATAACAGTCATGGAGTCCAGGCTGCCTTCTAGATGGTCTGGAGGCCTTCTAGATCATTCAGGAGCAGCTGTGTGCCTGGAGCTGCCTTTACTGATGAAAGTTGATTATTATGTTTTCAGGAATATCGAACATAGTCATTATTAAAAATTAAATTGAATAAAGTACAATTAAGGTGAAAAATATTCCAAGTTCATCACCACCTACGTGTCACTATTATCTCTGCTCTGCAGGTGATTTAAGTGTATTCTTCTGCAATTGCACAGCTCTTGCCTTTGGTGATGTCAGTCTGGAATCTGAAATTGGCCATGTCTGGAATCAAGTACAGTAATTGGTGAATGCTATGAATCAAGGCCTTTCCCTCATGTCTGAGAGCCAATAGCTAAGCACTTATCACCACGTCCGGTGCAAAAAGCAGCTCAGGAGACAAATGTGGGCTGGAGACAGCATCATGAGAGGCATCAGAATACAGAGGTGGGCAGCTTCTTGGGCTGGTGACAGGTCCTACACACAGAAGGAGGCTGTGCTGGTTCAATGCTCTTTGGTTGCCATCTTGAATTCTTTAGTTTTGGACAAGGACCATGCATTAATTTTGTACAGGGCTGTCCAAGGTGGTAGTGAGTTTTGGGTTTTGGGGGTATTGGTGTTTAGTCCTCTTCCTTCCATTCCTCAAAACAGATGTCCTGTCCTCTAGCTATGTGGTGGCACGTTTTCACAGCTACTTTTTGCATCTGTCCCTCAACCTCTATATCTCTGCAGCCAGCCAGCCTTCATCCGTTTTCTTTCTGTATTGTTCTTTTCTCTTGGGCATTCTTCTGAAAACCGTTAACTTTCAAGGAATGGATGTATTCCTTGACTTTAATAAAAACATTTCTGCCTCAGACCACAATGCCCCAGACATATTGGTATGTCAGTGGCTAAGGATATTCTGGAGGGAGAATTGCTTTCAACCCGTGAATGTGACCTGAGGCGAACTTCTTTGGTTTCTCTACACTTCAGTTTCCTCATCTGAGAAAGAATAGTATTTTCTTCTGAAGGCTACTGTAAATGCTAAATTAGATAATTTATGTAAAGTGCCCAGAAGAAAGAATGCTGGTAGGTGGCTAAGTGTTCCACGAACGGTGGCTATTATATTTAGGCGGACACTGAAACTTGGACCTGGCAAGGTCTTGGGAGGAAGCTGGCGGCAAGACTTCAGGTTATAAAGGCAGTCTTCCTGGCCCCACGGGATGTACATCCCAGAGTGGACTGAACAACTCTTTACTGAGGTTCTTAATATTCTCGAAACTCTTCTCCGCATCCGCCTACAGGCTGACTTGGCAAAACGCACGGATGGGATGCAGGCTCTGGGCACTGCCAGCCCTTTGGTTTCCTCGTGACGAGCCCCGTCGGTTCTTGGATAAAGTGAGGCGCACGGCGCTCAACGTACAGCAGAATCCTTTTCCCATCTCCTAGCAAGGCGCCTGGCATACAGCAGGCGTCCCTTTGTGCAGTTGTCGTCCGAAAGGGCCGCCGGTCGCACTGCACTCCCAGCCCCCAGCAGCCCTTGAGCTCCGCTGGAGGCTGYGCGCCAGGCCTGGTCCACACTGGGCGCGCGCGCCCCGGTTTCCATGGAAACGGAGAGAAATAACAACGCGGCTGCGGGCWGGGCGAGCGAGGCGCAGAGGCAACGGCGGCGGGGACCGCTCCAGCTAGCGGCTGCCGAGGTCACCTGGCCGTCCAGCCTGCGCCGGCCCCCCACGGCCCGGGAGTCGGTAGGTACAGCCGCGGCGGGCGCCTGGGGACCCTGGCCGCCCCGCCCTCCGGCTCGCCCCAGCKCTGCCCAGCGAGCTCCGCCACCCKGAGGCGCTGGTCAGCCAGAGGGCGAGGGTCCTGCACGCTCGAGCCCGGGCGCTCGCTCCCCCTCCCTCTTAGCGCGTTCCACACACTTGACTTTCACCAAAGAAGAGTCTAGGCAGCTCCAGCCAGGGTTTTAATTGCTTTATTTTGAGAGTGAAGGTGAGGGAGCAAGAGAAAAGAAATTTAAGCTGTTTGGAAACAGTTGCCGACGTGATGCTAGAAGCCGAGTCCCGTCATATTCACACTCTGTGCGAGTGTGTTCCCACCTCCCTCCCTCCCGTCCGGTCCCAACTCGGGCCAGGAGTGTAAAGCCCCCAGCGCAGCGCCCGTCCCGAGGTGGCACACCTGGATTCTGCAGGTGGCATGCGAAACAGGTGTCGCTCGCTGCGMGCGCTGATTGGCTGTGCACGCCGTGGTGAACTACTTGAAGGTCCACCCGTCCCGCAGCCTGCAGTGTCTCCGCCGAGTGCGCTGGGGCGCAGAGCCGTCCCCTCTCCTCTACCTGCGGCGTCTCCCTTTCCCGTTCCTTTCAGGAGGCGACCCACTCTGGTGCGCGGCGGGGCCCCGGGGGCAGAAARCGAGCCTCCGCCTGGAGCCAGCTGGGGAGGCGTCCCGCGGGAAAATGAGCGGCAGCAGCGCCAGGTCCAGCCACCTGTCCCAGCCGGTGGTGAAGAGCGTGTTGGTGTATCGCAACGGGGACCCGTTCTTCGCGGGGCGCCGCGTGGTCATCCATGAGAAGAAGGTGTCCAGCTTCGACGTCTTCCTGAAGGAGGTGACCGGCGGCGTTCAGGCGCCCTTCGGGGCGGTCAGGAACATCTACACCCCGCGGACCGGCCACCGCATCCGGAAGCTGGACCAGATCGAGAGCGGGGGCAACTACGTGGCGGGGGGCCAGGAGGCCTTCAAGAAACTCAAGTGAGTGGTCTTGCCCTCCACCTCCGCTTGCTGTGCTCCAGGGTGGGTGGGTGACGAGGAAATGAAAGACCCCCGCGCGCCCAGTCCACTTCTCTTAGGGTCGAGCGGCTGTGACTTGGCCATGTGGTGGTGGGCAGGAGGTGGAAACTGGGACTGAAGAGGAATTTCACTTGGGTAGCCCTAGATACAGACTTAAGATTTGTGTATAAGCAGCAATAAATTTAATTTTAAAAAAGTATCTTTGCACGGTTTAGTGACCAAATAATACTTCCGCATTTTGTTTGGCTTTTYCCCCCTTTCTTCTATTTTTGCCTTTTACTTTTGAGTCCATATTTTTAGTTTCAGTAAAGATTTCTTAAAAATTGCTTACAAGTATTGGACACTAAATTATCACTAGAAGAGAAACCCCGCTTTGCATCCCCCACCCACATTGTTTAAATTCTTTCAACTTTCATTCCTAGTAGAATGGACCAAACTCCACTTCTGTGACCCTCCTCCACCACCTGCCAGCTCAGGTCATAACTATGACGCTTGGGAAAGGCTAGTGCTGCCTCCAGCACCTGGGTTAGRCTTACAAGGACAGGGGTCAATTTCCCAGTTCCTGGCAGGCAGCCAGGTTATAGTAGATGTTCCATGAATTAGCAAATTGTGCTTAGGTCTTTGCAGGGAACCAAGATGAAGGAGACAAGACTCCTTGTCTAGGGGTTTGCAGTCTAGCAGGAGAGATGACATGCACATGATAATTTTAATGCAAACGACAAAAGAAATAAAGTGCAACTAGAAGAACAAAATTATGTTGGGGTTGAGAGTTGGTGGGGGTGGGCATTGTGGGACAGGTGGGTTTTATAGTCTGTTTCTTTACAACTTTTCTGCGATATATTTTGTATAGCTTAAAACCTACCCATTTCACTGATTTTCAGTGTATTCACCCATTTCACTGATTTTTCAGCATATCCACRGAGTTGTGCAACCCTTACTGCAAAGTAATTTCAGAACATTTCTATCAATCTCCTAAAGAAGCCTTTGCCTTCCAATTTCCCAATCCTGATAACTACTAATCTACTTGCCATCTCCATGGACTGGTCTATTCTGCACCTTTCCCATAAGTGGAATGATGCAATATATGGTCTTTTGTGTCTTACTTATTTTTTCTTTTTTACCATGAGCTTCCAAGGTTCATTCATGTTGTAGAATGTATTAATATGTCATTATTTTTATTTTTGAATAACATTCCATGTTGCACATGTAGCATTTGCTTCCTCATTATGCAGTTGATGAATATTTGGGTTGTTTCGATTTTTGGCTACTATGGATAATGCTTCTATGAACATTTGTTTATGAGATTTTATTTCTCTTGAGTGTATATGTAGGAGTGAAATTGCTGGTTCATATGCTAATTCTATAGTCCATGATTTTAAAATTGAACCTTTAAATTAAAGTTCCTCTTGGGCTCCAGGATAGCAACCAATCAATAAATAGAAATGTTTATTATAAATCTGTTTTTCAATTTTGTTTTTAACTGTATAGAAAACCGTTTCCAAATATCACTAACATTCTGTAATATCATCCTTCCCTACCTAAGTTTGTTCAAGCTGAGTTATAGGTGTTCTGCTTTCTTTTACACCAGGCATTCTTTGTGTGAAAGGTGAGGGATACACTTGGATTTATTTTTCCCTTCTGTGAAACCTCCCTTAAGTATGCTTTCTCTAACTTTGTAGAAAAGGGCTAATAGAACTGCATAAAAGAAATCTGGAGCTTTCAACAGGTGACTTGAGACTTTTCTGTTCTTTAGCTGTGTCCTCAGGCAAGTCCCTGGGCCTAGTAGTCAGCTTCCTAATTCAGAACAGGAACACAACCTTTCCTGCCTTACCGGGTTGTTGTGAAAGTGAATGCTGTGGATGAGCATGTGTTTGGTAAATACCCAAGTGTTATATAGATGAATGGCATCTCTTCATATAAAGTAATTTATGTAAAGTAATTTCATGGAAATAGAAATCTGGCTCAGAATCTAGGAACAGCTGAAAATTATAGACTTATTTTAGTAATTCACATTCTCTTATGTTGATTTGGCACTACCAACTCACAAGATAAAATGACAGAGTTCCAGACCACATAGAAATTGCACTTCCAATCATTTTAAATGGGCATGTAAGGGATTTGCTGGCTATTTTTGCTTTCAATTCACACAAAACAACTGGGTTTGTTAATAGGGACCGGGGTTAGTTTTCCATGGTGACAGTTGACTAGTTTATCTGTGTCAAAGATAAAGTATTTGTGTTATAATGATAGATGCCAAGAAGATCCAAATGCTGAATCTGTTTGAAGCTTAGMACTATAAGTTTGTGTAACAACTGAAGCAACTAGCAGAGCAAAAGACAGCTCAAAATGTATTGAGGGTGAAGTGTGGGCTTTCACTCAGATCCAAAATGATGCTGGGGAAGACAGCAAAATATTTTTCAAATGGAAATGACCACATTACTGCTGGATTTTTTTTACTTCAATTTTTCTAATAGTTCTGAAACCATATCTAAACCTCTGGTAGTTATTAAGCCTTTATTTTATAGCAGAGGATTCTAGAGAYGGTTTTCCCCCAAATTGTCCCCATAATCTGGAAAACATGGACTTTACTTTCTGGAGTTGAGTCTACCACATTAGTCTTGTGGATTTGAGGCCACTTTCCTGCACATGGTAGAGCATTTTGCTATTATCCTAGAAATAGGTCCGTGCATGTTCACAGAAGGCTCATTTTATTGCTAAGATGGGGGAAGTGTTCCTATTGTCTTATGTAACTAATGTTTAATACAGAAACATGACAATTTACAGAGGTATCAGTTAGGTAAAGTATACTGTCAAAAAAAGCAAACAACAGCATAACAGCAGTCATGATAAAACATTTATATAGCCAAAGTTAATTCTAATAGAACTCCTTTTTTTTTTTTTTGGTAATTTGGCAACTACAGTAGTTGAAATAGTGTCTGTCTCTACATCTATGGCTCTGAGATAAATGTTAGATTTATGCTTTTTATATTAAAGTGTTTATTTGCACTATATATATATATATATATATATATATATCACAGTTTAGGAACCATTTAAAACTGAAGCCAGGTCATAGCAATGGATGTATAGCTTAACCTCAAAAAAATGCAAAGTTTTCAGGTTGTGCTTACTCAATAGCTAATGAATGATCACGGGTTAATACTTGTGGCAAACAGTAATGAATTGATAGGAGTCTCTAGAGGTTAACTGGTCCACCCTTCTGGTTCCAAGCTGCCTGATTGAAACCCTCCCACATGACCAGGCATTTCTGGATCATGAAGTGCTTTCACTGGGAAAATGGTTTTTCCGCCTTACCCAGCTGTTACTTTAATATACACAGTCAGTACTTCCTTTGACCTAAAGTTCATGATTAATGGGACTGCCAAGAAGCTTTACACATAAGCCATTCTTTATTAAATTATATTAGAACTAGAAATACAGTACATATAGTGAGCGGCTATTAAGGGGGTAATATTCCCTAATGGAATATTTGAACTTGAAGTTCTAGGTAGATAAGTGTTGGCTCTGGTGGTGTTGCTGAAAGCAGTTCTTACTGATCTAACACCTATTGATTTTTGCCTTAGGCCTATGCATTTCTTATAACTTACTTTACTTTTTAATAATGTTTGAAATTTACATAACTGACTTAAAACCTATAAAAGCAACCCTTACTGTTTGTTTTTTCCCCCCCAGTTACTTGGACATAGGAGAAATCAAGAAAAGACCAATGGAAGTTGTTAATACAGAGGTAATACAAATTCTATTTTGTAAGTTCAAATAAATAATAGTACAATTTTGGGGGGTTTGTTTCTTAGGATGTGTCTCAGAGATTCGGATGACATTATAATTATAAAAGATAAGTTTCTCAAATGTATTTAAATGGGACATTATCTGTTTTAAGGAAAAGAAAATTCTTTAGGATGCTGTCAGAATTTACGACACTGACAGGCATCCTAGTCATGGGATTAGATGGAACTCCTCCRTCATTTTCCTAGGCACATGCGTTCTGGTGGAAATCCATAGACACCTTTCCCGTCAAATGTGGGAGGATTCTGAGCTTGCTCCTGACGTGCAGTGTTTGAAACCGGCAGGACCCCTCTGACTGCCCCTGAGGCTGACAGAGGGGACACATGGATACCCTATGCTGGCTTTGCTATGGTATCAGAACACAGGACGCCTGCCCTTTCCCTTGTCTTGAAGTTCACTAGAGTTTGGCTGGGAAAAGCTTGCATGAAGATTCAAAAAGATATTCAAACCACCACATTCCACAGAGCTTCTGAAACCTTCTGGAATTTTCCGTGGTTCGGCAGGATGTATTCCTCCATTTGTGGATGAAAAATAGTTTAGAAACAGTTGAGGGCGAATAGCTGTGAGTGTGTYGGGACAGGGGAGGCTGTAGGCAGAYCCAGCCTGGACTCTGTCCAGCAGCCCAGTCTGTGGTCACTCTCCCCACTGGGCCCCAAAGAAACAAGTGTTCCTGCTGTGAGGGACTCTGCCAGCCAAGACACAGTGTGGCTTATCTAGAGAGACCCTCACCCCCTCTGCTCCCCCTGCCCCACACAGCTAGAGAACAGGCCCATGGAAGAAATTCTGGGTATGCAGCAAGTGAAGGACAGGGGCTTAAATCCACCATTCAGATGTTTTGGGGAAAGAGGTGCTATTCTCCAGCCTTGTGGAAAATAATAGTTTGGTTTGTTGTTTTGAGTTTTCAAAGTGTATCAAATCAATTATTCATGAAAATGATAAACTTTATAGCTTAACATAGGCACAGGTTTTCCAGGTTGTGCTTATATTACAGTTAAAGAATGACTACCAGTTAGTACCTGCAGCAAGCATAAATGAAGGACAGATAAGTGAGTTAGTCTCAGGTTTGGTGCTGTCGGGAGGCCGYCTGTTGCTGCAGGCCACTTGGCCACGGGCTGGAGTTTTGCAGTACGGCTGGAGATGGTGGACTCCTAGCCATGAGCTAGTGTGTTCACTCTGGTCTCCCGTCTCTGACTAAGACACTGGGCCTGGTGCAGCAGGGGTGCAACCCATTTGTTGGAAATACTTTTTAAAATTTTAGCTTTAATAACAGAAACATTGGCAAGGACTCTAGTTAATTTGATTTGCTAATTGTTCTTCTACCTTGAAGACAATAATTGTTGTTTCTCTTTATTCTGGGCCTATGCTTGAACCCCACACATGGCTCTGATTTGTGATTGCACCCCTCATGTGGGAAAAGCACACCCTTTATCCCCACATGAAAGCCTGTGTCTGTTCCCTGCTGTTCCTTACTGGTGAGGCCCTTCTCCTCCTTTCCCCTTCCACACTGCTATAGCCTTTATTCCTTCTTAGTCCTTCCCCACGAAGCTTTCCAGTAGGCATTAAGAGATAAAAGGGATTTGGGAATGCACAGGAGAGGGGAAGAGGTGCTGCGAAGCTGCAGTCCATACGCCTCAGCCCCAGCCACCCAAGCCTAGGGTTCCCATGAGCCTCCTCCTTTCCTTCCAGTCTAGACAAGCAGTGTGTTTGCTTCCCTCCACTCTCATTCCCCATCTTGATTGTCAGCAGAAGACCCTCCTCCCCAAAGTCCATACCACGGTCTTCACCCTGAGGCCTGCTCCGAGCAGGACCAGCCTCTACTTTCCTTGCCAGGAAGGGAGGTTTTGTTTCCAGGTTCCCAGAAGGGAACTCTGAAAGCCCCTTTTCCATCGGAATATCACTTCCACTATTGGTTCTCTAGTAATCCTGCCTTGTCTGCAATTTCACTTTCTGTGGTTTCAGTTGCCCAAGGTCAATATTGTTTCAAAATGTTAAATTGAAAATTTCAGAAATAAACAATAGGTTTTAAATTGTGGGTTATGCTGAGAGGCATGATGAAATTCTGCTCATCTCACTTGGGACATGAATCATCCCTTTGTCCAGTATATCCAAGCTGTATATATTACCTGCCCGTTAATCATTGGAATCTGTCTCAGTTATCAGATGGATTCTGTCAATATTGCAAAGCTGTATACAAGTGATCCTTGTTTTACTTAATAATGCCTCCAAGCCCAATTAGGATATACCAAAGAGAAGTCACAGAGTGCTTTATGTAAAGTAAGACTGAAAGCCACATAACTTTTATTATAGTACGTTGTTACAACTGTTCCATTTTTCTTTGTTGTTGCTAATCTCTTATAGTGCTTAATTTATAAACTAAATTTCATCATAGATTTGTATGTATAAGAAAAAATAGTATAAATAGGATTTGGTACTATCTAAGGTTTTAGGAATCCATGGGTTTTTTTTTTTTTTTTTTTTTGAACATATCCTCTGCAGATAAGGGGGATAGCTATGTGCTATTTTGGGTGGAGAACAAGAGAAAAAGGATTTGTAGGTGCCCTGAGGACTTACCTATTGTGTGATTCTTACCATGAGGAAGTACCTCTCTCTTTTCTATAAGTGATTTACAATCAAACTTTTGGAATCCAACAAGTTTATAAGTTAGAAGACTATTGTTATGGTTCGGATATGAGGTATACCCCAAAGCTCCTGTGTTAATGCAGGAGTGTTCAGAGGTGAAATGATTAGATTATGAAAGCTGTACCTCATCAGTGGATCAGTCCATTTGGTGGATTAATAATGTCAGTGAACTAACTGGGTGGTAGACTTAGGTAGGTGGGGAATGACTACAGGAGGTGGTCCCTGGGGGTGTGCCCTTGGGATTATGCCCAGCTCGGTCTCTCTCTGCTTTCAGCTCCCTCCACCTTGCCTCTCTGCCATGGTGCTCTGCCTCACCTCAGGCCTAGAGCAAGGAAGCGGACTGACATGGAGTGAGCCTCTGAAACCATGAGTCAAAATAAGCTTTTCCTCCTCCAAGCTGATCTTGCCAAGTATTTTGGTCACAACTATTTATGCTAAAGACTTTAAGAACAGACTTGTGGACACTGGCCTTTCACAAGAGTTACAGATTCTGTTTTCTTGATCTAAGTGAGGATTTCCTTCCAGCAGTAGGGTTTACTGAGAAAAGACTGCACAGCTTAAGTACTGTTCACCACTGATATTCTTTGGAACATGACAGCTCCTAAGGGGAGGGAATCAGAGCATTAATGTTGAAGTTGATCAGAACTTGAACCAGAATTGGGCGGTTTAGTTGTTTCAAGGGGAAGTTTCAGTGCAGTAGTCACATAATAAATATTTAGGCAAAGATGTGTCTTTATGAAGGATGAGCAAAGTTCCCTAGTCACGAAAGTGGGGGCTTTTCCCTCAAATCGGAGGTTATTTCATGCAGTTTGAGTTTTCTGTGATGGACCTGCATAATAAAAGCTCCCCCTCCAGTCTACCTAGTCCAGTTCCCCCAACTGCTTTAAGCAATGTTCATTTGAATGATTCCCAGCACATTTTGCTATGGAAAGTCTTTGCATTTCTACAGGGTGATGCAGAACATGTGGCTTGGAGCTGGAGCCTTCTGGCTGGGAAGTCCCCATGTGCGCTGGGAGCCAGCCCTCCTCACCTCTCCCAGAGACCCTCACCCATGTCCATGGCACATTCTGGTTGCTGGTTAGTTAGTAACTTAGGAGGGTTTCTGCTTTCTGACTGCAGGTCCAGGTAGCCAGGACGCACTTGTCATCTGGACATTCATATCATTGCTCTTCTCTTCCATGAGTTGACTTTGAAGAGACCCGGTAAGGACAGCCAGTCTTCCTCCTCTTCCTTTGTGACCCTGTCATGGGACAGAGCAAAGCAGAGCTGGACCTCTTCCACTAACCCAAAGGAAGCACATGGAGTTACTTCCGGCAACCCAGAACTGACCTCTGCTGCCCTTAAGTTCCCCTCAGATCTGGCCAGTGAGCGTCTAGGAGACACCCTTCCTCCCCTTTCTCCACGTCAGCCTGTGGTTCTCTGAGTGGTGTCCCTTGTTGCACTGCTGTAACTGTAGTCTGAACAACAGCTGGGGGTGTCCATCTCTTAGGATCAGGATCAGTAGGCTTGCTTAGACTTTGGAATTTCCAACATTCTTCCCAAGATTCCATGAATTCCTGCAGAATTTAACACCTCACACTCATCTCTTCTGAGCATCTGCTTCCTAAGTGTTGAGTTTGTGGGCTGCCTTGTTCAGTACCCCATCAACCAGAGATAAAATCCTTTCCCTGACGCCACATGCAATACCCAGCCATGAGGTTTGTGTGCGGTGGAATTTACCAGTGGTTTGTAGATGCAGAGTGGATTTTGCAGGTCATAGAGAAGTGCCGACAACTCAGACCTTAGCATTGGACTTCCCTTCTTAAAAACCACTGTGGTGTGCTGAGGTTGTGGCTCAGTGGTAGAGTGCTCGCCTGGCACGTGTGATGCCCTGGGTTCGGTCCTCAGCACCACATTAAAATAAAGATATTAAAAAAAACCCCACTGTGGCCCGTAAGCCCATTCAGGCTCCAGGTTTGGCGCTGCTTCTCCTCCCCCTCCCACGTCCCCACTGATGTCTAACACGGGATCAGTTTACAGCTTCATTTCTTCCCTTGAATCTTGCCAATCCACTTTCTTATGGTCAGCAGTAGAGATCATCTCTCCCCCTCCCCACTTTCCTATTATGAACACCAAGGGTCTGTTTGGGTTTCCCCTCCTGTGTCTGCTCTTCCATCTGTGCTGGCTGAGCTGCCAAGGGGGGACAGGTGAGAGGTCCAGCCAGAAGAGAGCACAGGGCAGGCTGCCCTCGTCAGAGTGACCTACCGGTGAACAGCTCTGCCTTCTGTGCTTTGGAAAAGTGTGGCTTTAAAATGAAACCCG